TTTTTTTTTTTTGAATAGTCAGGTCTGCTCGAGGTCAGGAGACCGTAGACTGACTGACTACATTTGTTTATTTACTTCTACACTATTGTCAAAACTGTCACTGTTACCAAGCCTACTGGGTATAAAAAAAATTTGAACATTTGGGGAAAAAACCGCGTTTTTCAAGTATTCGGCAAATTTTTTCAGTATTTTTAAGACCCTATACTAAACTCGTTGCGGAGACAAATCTAACAAATCAAAAACCATGAAAATTGGTTCAGCCCAAATCAAGTTATAAGCGGTCTTCACTTTTACACAACTTTCTTTTATATATATAGATATTGTTTTAATACCTCGAGCTGCAGCTGCGCATTCAAATTCTGTTTTTGCTTTCTTCTGCTCAGTTTTCTTGTTTAATAATTAATAACTTTTAGTTTAAATATTTAAATTGCATGCATTTTGAATCTTTGTACACTCGCTCATTGTTTTTTTTTTTTTGTATTTTTTTTTTTTTTTTTTCAATTATGCTTTGTGAATTTTGTTTAAAGTTAAAATAATTTAATTAAATTTGTAATTTTTTCTTTTTGTTTTTCTTCTTTGCTTTTTATATTAATATAATTTTCTTTTTAGCTGGCTTTCTATTTGGGTTTCTTACGCTTGCGCCCCTTTTTTGGTGAGGAGGCGTGGCTGTGGCTGTCGCTGCTACCGATGCCTTAAGGAAATGTCGACCACGCCCCGCGCTTCAGTCTCTCTCTGCTTACGCCTCCAACATGACTTTGTGCACGGTTGCCAAGCCGCCGCTGCCGCTGCTGCTGCTGCCGTTGCTGCTGCTGGTGGGCGGCGTGCTGCTGGGCGTGGCCACAGTGACGACCGCACTGCTGGCCGCCGTCACGGTGACATCGGCGGACAGTGTTGGATAACGCTGCACCGCATTGGCGGCAGCAACGAGCGCATGCAGCTTGCTCGGCGGCGGCGTCGGCGACTTCTTGGACAGATTCAACGGCTGGGCAGGATCAGCGATGTCCACCTGCAGCTCAATCAGCGGCGAGGCACGCGGCGGCGCACTCACAATGCAGCTGGAGGTGGCTGCCGCTGAGGTGGTGGTGGCATTGCCGTTGCCGCTGCTGCTGGTGGAGTGCGGCGACTGGAAATACTGACAACTGTTGCTGCTGCCGGTGCTGCTGCTGCTGCTGGCGCTGGAGGTGGAGCTGGATGAGGAGCTGGACGAGGAGCTGGAGCTGCTGCCATTGCTGTGCGGCGAGACGCTCTGCTGACGCTGCTGGCAGCTGGTGGTGGACCAGCGCAGCTGTTGCTGATGCTGCAGCTGCAACTGTTGCTGCTGCTGCTGTGCARCTGGGGGCGGGGAGCTGGTGGAGGGCGAGGGGCAATGGCTGCTCGGACTGCGTCCGCCCGTGGTGCTGCTGGCCGTCGCCGTCGCCGGCTCGCGCATCAAATAGTTCTGAATGATGTCCGAGCGCTTCATCTGCTCCGGCGTCATGCGCGGCTCGGCCATTAGAGACTTGGCCAAAACCGAGTGCGTGCTGGCCATCGATGAGCCCAGCTGCTGCTGCTGCTGCTGCTGTTGGCTGGGCGTGCTGCGTGTCAGGTGCATGTGCAGCTGACTGCTCGCTGCTGCTGCAGCTGCTGCTGGGGGCGGCGGCGTCTGCACCACGCTGATGTGGGCGGCGGCGCCGTTGTGGGGCGAGGGCGTCGGTGTGGGCGTGGGCGTGGGACTCTGGCGCGGACTGTGGGCCGGCATGCTGGTGGAGCTGCTGGCATCCGCCTCGGCTGACTCGAACTCGCGATGGCGCAGAGCGCGGAACTTCTTGTGCGGCTTGTAGGCCTCGTCCATCAGGGAGTTGGTGTCGTAGAGCGGCGGCGCCTGGAGCACCCGCTTCAGCACTGGCATATCCTCGACAATCTGGCGCTTCAGGTTGGCGCTGCTCGAGGGCTGCGGCGAGCGCACCGGCGAAACGGAGACAACGCCGACGCCGACGCCGGCTACGGCTGCGACTGCCTGCGCCGCATCGCTGCAGTCGAGCGCGTCGTCGACGCTGGAGCGCGGACTCGAGCAGGAGCTGCTGCCGCCGGAGCTGACGGCCTTGCATTCGTTCTTCTCGTTGCCCGACTCGATGCCCGAGTCGGTGGGCGAGTCCAGCTTGCGGTAGCGCGTGGCGCCCGAGGTCAGGTGATGGTGCAGCTGCGGATGCTGTTGCTGGTGATGATTCACCTGCTGCTGATGATTCACCTGTTGCTGCTGCTGCTGCTGTTGCTGTGGCTGCTGGGCCTGTTGCGGGTGGCGCACAATGGGCGTGATTGTCAGGCCGTTCTGTGTGAGATGCGCATGATGTCCAACGATGTCCATGTCCGCAGCGCCCGAGTCGCCGCTGGAGCCGGAGTTGGCGCGATTGCGCAGCGGACAGCCGCCGGAGAGTGTGGCGGCCAGCAGGGGTGCTGAGCTGGCCAACGAGGAGGAGGAGGAGGCGCTGGATGCTGAGGAGGAGGATTGGGTTGGTGTACTCTGTTGCTGCTGCTGCTGGAGTTGCGTGCTGCTGGGCGTGCCGTAATCCAGATCCGCTGATTCCGTGCTGGAAACCGAGCCCAACGGGCTCTTGGCCGCCTCCACGTCCATGGCATCCCAGCTGCCGGCCGGGCTCTTGCTCGCACCGTCTCCCTCTTCCATGCTCCACATCTGCTGACGCAGCAGCTCCTTGTGCTCGGTGCGAAAGACGACCAGCTTCTCGGTGTGCAGGGTGCTGAGGGTGCGCAGATCGGGCATAGTGTCGAGCAGCTTGGCCAGAAAGTCGGGCTGATCGGGCCGATTCTGGCTGACGATGCACTGCAGGCAGCCCTTCAGGCGGCTGTACATCTTCTCGATGAGCTCCAGATTGCGCAGACCGGGGCGATCCGGTGTGATCAAAACGATGGCGCAGAAGAGTCCGATCTCGGCGTCTGTCAAATTCATCGAGTTCATGCGCTCCGCAAAGTTGAATGTGGAGTCCACCAGGAAGCGAGCGTTCGCTCCATTCTGGATGGCATCGCGACGCATCACCTGGCCATTGAGGCAAATGATCGAGTTGATCGACGAGTCGAACATGCAAATGAGACGCACGAACAGCGCATCGAACAGACCCGCCTTCAGCAGCGTGAATTTGTCGTCCTGGGTGAGCAGCTGGAAGCCGGGAATCATGCCCGCAAAGTCGATGACGCCGCGTATGACGTGCGCGAAACGCTGTGAGAACTCCTGCTCGGATTGCAGTTCAGGCGCGGGATTCAGCGGACAAGCCTGCAAGGAAAATGAAGAAAATGATTTCCAGTTAAAGTATATTGAAAATAGATGATGTATTTTCTATTTCTTTACTGATTTCTGGGTATTCTAATTGGATTCGCTGAATCTCAATTGATAGATTGCATTCACATCTCAATGCCATTGCAATGTATTTAATTTCTTATATGATTTCTGATCATTCTGATTGGCTTTGCTTACATTGCAAATCTTGCATCAATTTCCTGCAAATGAAATTTGTTTTGCATTCTACATTTATTATTCAAATTGGAATTGGTTAATAACTATTTACGTTCGCGTTTCGCTAGTGTTTACTGTAGAGCTTGCCACACCTGCTGCCATTTAATTGCCCCAAGCATGTGGCAAACTGTTGCATTTCCCACAACAACGTCATCGGCATTCTATATAAGCGCTATTCACGCGAAGGTCACCGAACCGCTTTGCCACCAGAGCTCACCTCCGCCCATCTGCTATCTGCTATCTCCCTTCCACCCGCTGTAATCAATAATCATAACTATTAGTACTTCCGCACGCCTCCAACTCACACTCACACACACACACACACATATACAGACACAACTCACTCTCCCGACCCCTTCCAGCTAATAATACTGAGTCAACTGTCGTCAAACGGCACATTTCCTCATACGTACACGCTGGAAGCTTTTCCATTACAAAAGCTCAGTCGAAGTCAGCGCGCGCTGCTTCTGCTGCTGCTTAGTTTTTAGTTTCTAGGGGCAGTTTTTTTGCGCTCTCCCACTATCTGTCTCTCTCTCTCTCTCGCTTGTTTACTATGACAGTTCTATTCGTAGTTTTTTTTCTCTGTTGCTTTGTGCTTTCGTCGCCTGTCGCTGACATTAGCACCAAGGTCGACGAACCAGAGTTCAAGGTTCCGGTTAGTTGTTATCGTTGTTTTTTTTTTTACCCTGCGCGTGTGCCGGTTGGGGGTTTAGATTGTCATTTGTGTGTGTGTGTGTGAGGGGAGGGCTTATATATATCACTGATGCCGTTGTTTTGTCTATTGCAAACCCTGGTTCATGTTGTTTTGCCATTTGGCTTTCCGGGTTTTGAATTACATGCACGCGCCAGACAAACGCGAACGTGCCAAGCACAAAGCCCACCCCACCCCTTGCTAATAGCCTTTTGTTGCTCTTGATTCTTAATTTATAAATTATGTTTCATTTCACTGTGCATGCTTATATACATGTGTGTATATACTACTACTACTATATATACACGTCGAAGTCTTCTGATTAACCTTGAACATTTTTGCCGCCTCTCAAAATGCCGGCCCATCCATAGTTTGCGTCTTCTTTTCCTCTTCTCCCACACAAACACACACAAACATACGCACGCACAGACAGACGACCTCTCGTCTTGCTCCCTCCCTTTCTCACACTACCTCACTGTCTTCCACTGGCCTTCGTCAAGTGCAAGCAAAAGCAACAACAGTATGCCGGCTAACCGGCACAACAAAAACGATACGAAATTTCTTTTCTATTTCTTTTTGCCGGCACGCTGACGCTGGCGCTGACGTCGCCGTCAACTTTGACGTCGCCTTCGGCATGGGAATTCGTTGTCGTATCATTTTATAAAAATATATATTTTTCTGTATATTTGCGTTTTATTTGCGCAAAAGCGGAAATAGTTTTGCAAAATGTATAATAGCCTTGCCTATTTGCGTGTGTGTGTGTGTGTGTGTATATATGCTTTCCTTATGAATTGCCCCCTTTTTGTTAGACTGCCCGTCATGCGTATCACAAGACCTTCAATTCAATTTTTTGGCTGCCAAGATAATTCCTCGAATTCTTGCAGTTGATACAATCTCAAGTCTACTCAACAGCATACAAATTGCAATATATGTACATACACTTGCCAGAAAAACTATGCGTACAGGCCTAACGTGCGACTTTGATAGAGAATAAATATGATAAATAATAGGATTATTATCAATATTATATTTTTTAGTGAAAAACTATTTAATAACACACATTTAACAACAATTTTTTTTAAATAATATTAAACATTTTTTTTTTAATNGTATCCAACCTCATATTAATTTTTAAATTTTCATTGAAAAAAAGTTATTTTTGGTTTTGTTTTTTAGTTTGTACGCAAACTTTTTCTAAGTGAATTTTCGTTGTTTTTTTCTTATTTAAAATATAAAAAAAAAACTGTTTAATATTATTTAAAAAAAATTGTTGTTAAATGTGTGTTATTAAATAGTTTTTCACTAAAAAATATAATATTGATAATAATCCTATTATTTATCATATTTATTCTCTATCAAAGTCGCACGTTAGGCCTGTACGCATAGTTTTTCTGGCAAGTGTATCTGATATATGCACATATGTATATACATATATATATTGTGTAGGCCCTTACACCTTGCACTTGCTTCCGCCTTGTCTCAATAGAATTTCGCGTTTGGCGCTTCCTTATAAGTATTTCAAAATAATAATAATAATAATAAACCACCTGATTGTATTTAAATGAACTGCGTCGTCTCGCTTGCCATCTCACTCCCACTCGCGCGGCTCACTCGCTCACTCTCGCTCGCACATTACAAATTGCTAATAATGCTGCTTGCTGTAATTGTTGCTGGCATTCGTTTTGCGTTCTCTCTTTGACGGCGCTTGTCGTAAAAGTGCCGTTAGTGTTGTTGCTGTTGCWGTTGCTGCTGCTTTTGTTTCTGGTCTAGCTTTTGCACTCGCTTCCTCATACTGATGACATTTACATTTACATTTACGAGTGTGCACGAGTGCCCCCTTCTCCCTTCTCCCCTTCCCTGACTAATGCCTAGTTCTATGCATATTTGTATAATTTTTATATGTTATTATGTAAGTATTATTGCTTACTCATACACAAACATACGCAAGTAGCTCTATATATAATACCCGTCCGTATCAGCTACATACCAACATACATGCGCTAAAAGAAGAAGAAGAAAACGCTACACACACACATGCACAACCATTTCATTCATCCAAGGTTAAAAAATAACTCGCCACAAGGTCGTCTCGCGACTCGCATGCGAGCATTCTAACTGTGTGTGTATGTATGTGTGTTTGTGTGTTTATTCTACGCTGCAGACATGTGCAAATTATTCTTTTGGCAGCGTCACTCTCTCGTGCTCATTTACTCTCTCTCTCTCTCTCACAACTGATCATATTTGTGTTCCCTTTGCATTTGTAAAAAGCTCTTACAATGCTTTTAATGTTGCTGTTGTTGCTGCTGCCAGAGCCTTGCACTTGACTTTGACAATGGAAATACTTTGTTTACTATCGCTCGCACGCTCTCTTATCGCTAACTCATTAACGCAACTGCCTGATAATCGGACGAAAAAAGAAAGGAGAGAAGAAAGAAATAGAAAGCAGCCGACGACGCACAGCTCTCCTTTGATTATTTTTGAATGCTTAATTCGCCTTTATTTAAACAGCCGCCACATGTGTCTAAATACTTTCGCCCCTTTCATGTTCGCCCTCTTGTTCGTTCTCACTTTGTGCCAACGCCTGTGTATTTATGTATGTGTGTGTTTGTGCTATTCTGTTCCATTAATAATGACGCTACGGCTGACCTTGAGCTTTGGAAATGTATTTTTTTTTTAATATTGTCGGAACACGTTTCCCGCCTGGCTTAATATGGGTTTCATTTTGTTGTTGGTTTCCTTATCGTTCAGTTCTGATAAGTCCAATAAGACTGCTCAGAGTGGCATATTGGAAATGTTAGTTTTGTATGCTTCTCTATGTATTTATTATCCTTATTGGAACTTGAGCTATTTTTATGCTATTGCTGTCTGCTCATATCTTCCATCTATGTGCAATGACGTCACTTGTAAATATTTTGTTTTACCCACAACATTGAAGTCGAGACGTTGACAGCATTTACAACCCATTTATCATTCTGTTTGTCAGTCGTTTGTCAGTCACTTTGACATTGACGGCTTTTGGCCAAAGTCAAGAAAGACAACAAAAAATTGGTTTTTAAGAACTTGACCCCAAAGCGCTCGGCGACGCTTCAATGCCCCGATCTATGGCAATGCGCGTTCTCGCTCTTGCTCTCTCATTCGTTCTCTCTTTCTATCTGTATCTCTTCCTCTCTTTGGCCCAGCCGGAGGTCTTATAGTGCGACAGACGCGGCTACGTGCGATGCTTTTGATTTCCTGGTTTAGAATCATGCAAACTGGTTCACCTTGGCGTATGAGTAACGCTCGAGCTACTAGTTTGTTGTTATTGTTTATAGTATTATTATTGCTGTTGTTGCTATTGTAGTTCTGGTTGTTGTTGCTGATCTGTGCATGCCAATAAAAAAATGTGCCCGGAAATGTGCTTTGACATTCGCCTACGTCAAAAAAAGCGCTCAAAAGCCCAACTGAATGCCAATTGGATAGCAATTGGATGCCAATTGGACTACATCTTAGATTTAGGATTTCTTTGATTTTTGTTGTAGCTTTTCTGCTTTCACTTACCAGCAGGGTGGGCATGGAGTAGGAGGGGCAGTCTCTGGCACGCTGTCGCATCGCCGAGACCTTCTCCTTGGTGAATTCGCACGTCTCCAGGTGGGCGCGCAGCACGGCGGCGAGTAGGCGTGGCTGATCATCCAGCTCGGTGGCCAGCGCGCGCTGTTGACCGCGATTCTGTGTGCTCTGCTGCATGGCGGCCAAAATACGCGCCTTTTCGCGCTTCGGCACGCGACCAAAGCGAACAGCTGCAAGGTAGACAGAAAAAGAGTTGCAAAATTAACAATATATTCAGATGAGCATATATGTAAATATATATATGTATTTGTATGTATTTGTGCATGTGCTATTTTTTGTTGTCTGTCCGCCTCACACTTCAGTGAGCAGGTGCAAGGCGCAGCTGTTGCCGCCGTTTGTCACGCAGGAAGTTCTTGTCCGTGTGAGCGTGAGCTCACTGTACAGGCACAACTGTAATTTATGGACAGCCCTTCGAACTGGGTCATTGCCTGCTCTCAGCTGTCGTTCAACTCTTCTTTTTTTTTTTTTTTTTTGGTCTGTTGCTGTTGTACTCGTTCTTCACGCTTGCTACACTTTCTCTTTTTTGTTGTTTTTTTTTTTTATAAATGTTTTCTGTATTTTTGTTTGTTTGTGGATTTTAATTTGCACTAACGAATTTGTATGTGGGTGAACTTTCACATTTCACCAGGCCAGAGCGAGACGGCAGACACGTTTCTGGTCACGTTTCACAGATCAACGGATCAGGCCTTAGGCCAAAGACTGGGCCAAAAAGACGTTGTCACAAGTTTGTAGGCGCTAATTGAGTGAAGTGTGTTGCCAAAGAGGGGGGCCTTAAATGCAGCTACAGTAAAGAGTCACATATATGAGCTATACAAAAATATGCATTGGATTTAAAGATGAAAGTAGTTCATAGCAAGCTCAATTTTTATACCTGCACTGTAAAACTACTGCTCACTCTCCAGAATTGCTTTTACTGTAAAAGTGCTGCACTCCCCTCATCTCACTCCCTCCTTCGCACTACTTCATTACCCTAGCCAATGCGTGCCTAATATTATAGCCTCTATTGTAGAACTGCCACACTCCCTCCATCCCACTCTCTCCTGCACTATCCTGAACTTGTACAGATTAAGCTTGCATCTGCTGCTCCATTTTTTTTGCTCTCTCACTCTCCCGCAGTCTGTCATCCTCGCTTTTACTGGAAAGTCAGCAATTCGCCTTAAAGCTAATCATTAATCAAACTAATTGAAAGCTTTGTGCTGATTAGCAAACACATTTAGGCCTGTTATTTTTAGCCATTTGCTATTCATTTCTGGTAAAATAAATGCCTGGCCAACTTTTCAATGTCAATGCAATTTCTACAATTTCACTCAATTGCCACAAATAACTGGCACACTAAACAAAATCAGTAACAAAAGTGAAACAGCAACAGCAACAGCAACAGAAACATCAAAAGCAACAACAAACTAAATCCAAACTGGGTGCTTGGCAGATTTTTCACTACTTTTTCCAGCAGCCGAGAAATCGCTTGACTGACTGAATGACCCAGTTGGCAGGCAGCGAAATTCAGGTCAAACGAAATGGAAAATGAACGCAGCTGCGGCTGCGCGTAGAAATTAGAGCGAGCGAACAGCGAGCAGCGCGCACGCCTGCGCCAATAGCAAGAAACACGACGGCGACAGCGCAGCAGCAAAGCCTGCGCCAACTTTCGACGCTGCAAAGTTGGTCAAACATGAAGAGAGGCAATAACAACAACAACAACAGCAGCAGCAGCTTTCGTTGTTGCTTTTTAGAAAATAGCAAAAGTCGCACAAGTGGGCAGAGACGACTGCGTCGCAGCGTCGCTAAAGTTTCATTTCAAGTTTAAAGCTCTTCCGCGGCCGCACAAACCAAAAGCAACAACAACAATAATTATTGTGTGCGTTTAAAAACGAGGTCAACACTTCAATGGCGCTTAAAGAGTTAGTTGTTGTTTGACAGCAGCAGCAGCAGCATAAGAAACACAAAACAAACAAAATGTAAACAAAACGAAAAAGCAAATCAAAGTCAAATGTTTTTTTTTTTTTCTTTCTCTGGTTTGGGCATGCATTCCGTTGCTGCTCAAATCTGCATTTCGAAGTAAAAGCTTTGATTGGAAATTGAAAGCGAATTTGTGTCATGTTGCGGCGAAATGATTTCAAGTTGATTTTATTCGAATGTGAACAATATGAGTATGTGTGTATGTGTCTGTATGTGAGTTCGTGTGAATCTCTGTCATATTAGAGTTGGCTCAACTTACGCGCATTGTGATAGTTCACGTTGCCTTTGAGTATGCCTTTCAATATAGGAAGTTCTTCGCCCATTTTTGTGCGAGTGTGTGTGACTTTGTGTGTGTGAGAGTTATGTTTGGGTTTTTGCTTTTTGATGTGTTTTGGTTATTCTCACTAAGAGATATGAGATTCTCTGTTTGGCTGCACACTGGGGCGCATTTAATTTCTACTTGGAATATTCATTAAAATTTCCTTTTGCTTTCTTTTGGCACGCACAATTTTTGGTTAAGTATTTTCCCTTTTGTTTTGTTTTTGGGACAACAAATTTGTTGTTGAACTTTACTTTTCTTTTCGTTTCTTTTCTATTTCAGGTACTCCACAGGTAATTGCAAAAATATTTCTGTTTTCTTTTTTGTAAAATTTTCTTTAAATATTTGCACTAATTCTTTTTTAAACATATATTTAAATTAAATTTTTTTCTTTTTTGTATTTTTGCAGGAACTTTCTTTGCTTTTTTCAACTTTTTGTTATAATAATTTTTGGAATTTATCTTTTGCTGAGCTCTGCAGCAATTTTTGGGTATAACTTTTTGTTTTTATTTTAGTTGTATTTTTATTTTGATTTAGATTTTGGTTTTTATGTTTTACCGCGTAATCCAAATATGCGTTTCGGGTTCTGAGATTTGAGACAGGTCGACTTTTCTTCACATTAACAGAGGAATTAAATATATTTATATTTATATTTAGTCGAATATATATTTATGTAAATATATATTTGAATTGATTTTGTTGCAATTGTCAAACACAAACACACTTRAAATGTTGATTGAGTGTAGTCTTATTGAAATATTTCGCTAACATGACAAAACTCGACAAGGTCTCGAACGCGACTAACTGTAAAAAGCAAAGCACGTTACGAATATACCCAAAGGTAGCTGCGAGACTGAGACCGAGACTGAGTCGAGCAACAACAGAAACAGAAACGGCAAAGGCAACTGACAAAAAAGCCGCCACCGTCGCGACAGCAGAGCCAACGGCCAGCACAGCACCAGCAAAGAGAGCAAAAGCGAGAGCGAACGCGAGCACGACTCAGAGAGCGAAAATACGCAAGAGCGAGCAAAGCTCACTGACTGAGCAATTGGCAGGGGCCAACAAACCAGAAAAGAAACAACAGAGACAGCAACAACAACAGCTTAACAACTACTGCAAGCGTCAATTGGTGATAAGCGAATTAGTCATAGAAGCAAATTTACATGGCAATAAAGAAATTTAGAGTAAACCCCAGCTAATTTATATTTAATACTTAATAATAAAAAAAAGACATCAGTATTCAACAATAATTAAATAATAATAAATCTACTTATTTTCATTTGTCATCGTTTCATTTCACAAGTTTAGCATTTTAATTAATTTAAGTCGCAGTTGGTTGCAAGTTCAAGCACTGATAAGCTTCGTGCGTTGATAAGCTCTGCCTCTGCCACAATCAAGCTCTGGCGAGCAGCGCTTTATCTTAATATCTAATGACAACGAAAGTTCAATGCTCGTGGCGCCAAAAAAAAAAAAAAAAACAAAAAACAAATAACAAACCCAAGCATAGTTAAGAGCAAAACTTTTGCACGCGCTCTCTCCCTCTCTTTTCCGGATGTCTCTCTTATGGCGCATGCTCTTAAATGCACGGCGGAGCTTTTCAACACACCATGTTGAGTTTGCCAGCTAGTTAAGAGAGCGCAAAGCTTTGCAGAGAGCTTTTTGTGCAAAACATGCTAGTTTGGCGCCATGCAAGCGAGATCACGCATACGCCTAGTTGATGCAGTTTTGTGATGCATTTTTTTATACTCTCCTCATTCGCTTGACGAGCCGTTAAAAATGCATTATTTTTTTGTCATTAAACTCTTATTTTATATTTATGACTGGCCCCGTCTGGCAGCCCTCAGCTCTGCTTTTGAGGGCTGCGTGTGTGTGGGAGCGAGCGAGATGCACAACAGCAACAAAACATTGAGTCACGTAGCCGCGCAAGTTGTTGGTTCGCTGAACTAATTTAAATTTGAAACAAAATCAAATCTTTGTTTTATTGAGGTCACATGCGAGAAGTGACTCAGAGTCGTCAGTGATTATTCAAATTGAATGCAAACTAATGCGACGGAAGCGAACAGCTTCCAATGTGTCAAAGCATTTCGCACGTTATAAACCACTTGAGCAACAACAACAATGAGAACAATAAGAGGAAGAAGGAGTCATAAGTTAAACAACAAAAACAAAGAGCGACGCGACGGTCATTGAACTGAAGCCACAAAATGAGGCCAAAAAAACAAACAAACAATGACGACAACCGAAAGCCACACAAACAGGCAACAACAAAAGAAAAGAAACAAAATGTATATATAAAAAATTTAATAATATGAGCGAATCGAAGCGTCGCATGTKGTTGTTGTTGCTGTTGCTGTTGCCTGAACGTCATTGCCTCATTTCAGCCACGAAAGTAAAAGTGAAAGTTACTTTTTTCGGGGTAGAAATTTCGACGTGTTTTGTAGCAGCCAAAAGCGAAATTGAGCAACTTGTTCGTTTAGGCCTATCAAATCCGACGGGGGGACAGCTGAACAACAACCGAAATTGTGTAAGAGACACAAGCGACAGAAGAGACAGAAGAGACAAGAAAGCAAACTGGAATATGCCAGCAATACGTTGGGAATCGAATAAATATAAACAACATATAATATATATATTGATATGGGCAATAAGATACCTCAAACTGGGTGTATAGGTTTATGAGGATAGGGAAAAAAAATTAAAAATGTCTAAATTCATATTTCTTAGATGCGCTTCATATTTAAATATATTATTATTTAATATTCAAATGCAATTTGTATATATTGAAATACCATTTTTAAAGAACAAAAATTTTTATTAAGCTTGTTATTCAAATTTATTGTAATTTAATTCAATTCCAATTTTAATGAATTTAATTTTAAAGCAAATTACATTATT